CTTCCAATAAATCTAAGCTCTACTTTGCAGAATTACCTTAGATTCCAAAAAAATATCATAATGATTTTGAATTAACCAAAATGGGCTATAACACACCACAATGCAGAATATATACCAAATGCTTTTAACGAAATCCCTTTGCTAGATTATACACATTTTATTACGATTGAAGCATGCTCAACAAAATCAGCATTCACGTAGCTTTTACCACTGGACCCATCCCTAGCAATCGAATACAATGACACCGCAGGTGATGGTGGTAAAGCGGCATTATCCATATTTCCTGAATTCCACTGAGCAGTATTCTTCAAATCCGACAATTTACGAGCTCCTAAAAGTATTGTACCAAACTGAATGTCCACTACGGTACCTAACATGCGCTGATTGACTCTTCTAGATTCTGCATTACCCTGCAAGATGTATAATTGAGACATTTTATGTCCCTCCATTACACTTGGACATCCTTACAAACTTTCAAATCTCCACCTCTACCTCCACCAAAGAACTCATAACCTTTTGAATCAAGGCTAAACAAAGATATGATATTCTTCTTCAAATTTGGAACATGTCAAATTTAGCCAAGTGGTCTAATTGTTCCATCCAAAAGTTTCAATCTGACCTTACCAATTTCAGCAACCCAACAAGGTGTGTTGTTTCCCATCACGACGACACCTTTGGAAACGTTTTCATATGTAGTAAACAAGTCCTTATTAGGATACATATGAAACGCACATGCTGAATCAAGAATCCAATCCTCCTCTGGTTTAGACTCGACGTTAAAAATAGCCAAGAAATCTCCATCAATATTCTCTGCGAGGTCTGCTTTGCCTGATGTATCTGATTGCTCCCCATATCGACTTGCAACCAACATTTCTTTATTCTACAATTTGTAGCAATCCTTCTTCATGTGCCCCTTCTTCTTGCAATAGTTACAAATCTGATTACTGAACTTAGACTTTGATCTGCCCCTTTCAGAACCACCATGAGCAACCAGACCTTCTACATCTCTAGCCTCAGAAACTAGATGTTTCATCTTTTCTTTTAAATATAAAACATCATACACATCATCTATGGTGAGAGTATTACATCTATACAAGATCGTGTCTCTAAATAAAGAAAACGAAGCTGGTACCGAATATAATAGGATCAAGGCCAAATCTTCATCATCATACTCTACTTCCAAAGTTTTCAAATCAGCTACGATCTCCTTAAATACTGCCACGTGATATTCAAATAATCCTCCTTCTGCCATTCGATAAGAGTATAAATGCTACTCGAGGTTCAACTTGCTTGTCAGACTTTTAGTCATGCATAATTGCTCCAACCTCAACCATGAAGCAACTGCTGAATTCTTCTTCAAAACGTCCTGAAGAATAATATTTGATAGATAAAGATGAATGTGAGAAACTGCCTTTTTATCCTTCTGAATTTCTCCTCTGCGGTCAAAGTTGCAAGCATCTTGTCAATTTCCAGCAAAGCATCATCCAAATCCAGTTGTGCGAGTACTGCACACATTTTAACCTGCCACAGTGAAAATCTAGTGTTCCGATCCAAAAACGAAATGTCATACTTCATGGAAGCCATTACGAATGAAAAACCTCAAACAAATCAAATATTGCGCTCTTGCAGAACTGCTGAACCGGGGCTGATACCAATTGTTGCAAAACAATCAAGATACTAGAATAGCTCTGATACCAATTGTTGTGGAACAAACCACCAGATTGATATGTTGAAGTTATATGACAAATAATAATAAAATATTTGATTAAGTAAAAGAATAAAAAAGATAAGAATATGACAGCGGAATTAAGAAATTTTATTGATTTAAGAATAATGGAGAAGATAGAAAATTATAATGGATCATATAATTCTAGTAATCTATTTTCTCACATTATAAAATTGTATAAAAGAACCTAGTATTTATAGGGAA